GATGTTCTACATGTTAGAATTCAAGTCAACCGATATTAAATTTCGAATGATGTCCTTAACAATAGGTGTATATAATGGTAGCATCAGTGTGCAAGTTTGAAGTTAATTGTAAGTTGGGATTATCATTTACTGTGAAAAGATATTTCTAAATGTTAAATTAAAAGTCGGCCAGGTTAATTTTTTTGAAATGTCTTTATCAATCGGTGTATTACTTTCTAACGTCAGTGTGCCGTTTTCAAGTTATAAGTGGAATTAGAATATGTTTTTCCTTTTAGATATATTAATGTTTGAATAATTACAATGATAACTTTCATTTTTGCAAGTGTTTCAAAACTAGTCTCGCACTTGGATATTCATTTTTTATGGTATTTATTTTATTTTGGTGAGTAGTAATTAGTATAAACATGTTTTCAGCAGGTAAATTATTTTGAGATCTTGGTTAATGCATGACCCTTTTGCATGCTTGTCTGAATAACTTCTCCCTCCCCATGGCTTTAGCAATGTGGATCTTTTGTTGAACAGGTGGAGGGCTTAGCCTTTTTATAATATTGTGTTAGCATGAGCTCTCCCGTGGTGCTCAACTAGTCTCCCATCTAGTATTATATACACAACACCAAGGTGGTTGTGGATCGTGTACATGGAGCCCCAGCATCTTGAATGACTGTGACCTGTGTGTATATAACGATTTTCCTGATTTTTGAGAGTAAATCTTCCTAGTTGGTTTATTTCAATGCAGTCTAAATCAGAATAGAACACTGTAGAACAATAATGGATACACCCAACACTTTTCAGTACTATTTCTATTTACTGAGTATTTTCAGTGCTAACTTGCTTTTTGAAATTAGAACTGCATCGTGCATATAACAACGGACTAAGAAGTAGACATATTTATTATTCTTAACATTTTTGATACAAGGTAAACTTGGCATTCATAGAAAATAAAAAGAACTTTCATTGCAATGTTCATAATTTTAAGCTGGACTGCATTAATTCACTTCCTTAGATGCTGATGGTCTAGCTGAAAGTGGGAGATAATCCAGGATAGAGCTGCCTCTGGCACAATCCCGAGTGTGCAATTACACAACATAAATGTTTTTTCAGCTCATTAACTAAATTTGGCATACAACAATTTGTTACAGAATTGGCTATCCTAGGCTTTTATATGTTAATTGCTCCTTTGACTAGAACCTCAACGACCTTCAAATACCGCTGAAGAGTTCAGCTTTCATTCTTTTGACCTGTAGTGGAAACCACGTTGATTCTTATTATATTTAATATGCTTCTGTTGAACCTAGACTTAACATTACAGACACTGTTTTGTATAATAAAGTCAGGACTGTACCATCAGATGGTATAAGCATAACTAAAACCGCAAATATGCGGAATGGTTAGAATTATATATGAAATACAGATATCCTTTACCCCATATCTTGTTGGGCATGCCTGTAACTGTCATAACAAACTGACTCTCACGGCGGTTATGCTTAGGCGTCGTGACGCATACAGTAGGTCAGTGAAAGTTCCACTACATGTAGCGCCTCCTGGTCAAATGGCAAGACGGTTGCCAAAATTCCTGAGTCAGTGAGCCGAGAATTTTCCGATACCGCATTTCGTGTTAATGAAATAAAATTTGTTAACTTTTCATCATGAGTAATTTAATGATTAATGTCCCTACTTTATTTGTTGATTGTGATATCTGTAACATCAGTAATTGAGTTGAAAGATTGAACCCTTAAAAAGGGTTTTTCCCATGCATACTGTGTGGACATGCTAAAGTGTTCATGTATTACTGTTCAAGTAAGAGAGTAACAGTGTTTTCTCTCTGAACAATTTTTGGCTGCAACATAACAGAACTTTTTCGGAAAATCAGGCTAAAAGAGAAATTTTTTTTTTAAAAGGTCCCCTAATATTATGTCCCGGACCCAACTGTTGTGTGGCCATGAAATAGAGCAGGACTCGACCCTCATGTGACAATTATACTTGCCATCTGGCATCCAGCCTGACAAGAAGAATAGTAACCATCAAAATTGATGGTCTTGATGCCGCTAATGTCCTCTAAATTCTAAAATTAATTTTTGTTTGAGCACTTCTTTCATTCAATGAAAGCCTTATCAATATAATTTATCTATTTGAATACATGATCAAATTTTTTCCTTCCAGATACTTGAATATTCAAACTTGGGTTTTCCAGTGTATTCAGTTTTTATATGTATATGAGCTCTATGTGAATTGGTCTTTGGTGGTACATGATGTTAAAGCTGGTGTCTTTTTGCAGTTACAACGGAGCCGTTTGCCTGATCACCGGCACCGTGGAGCCATATTGACAGTCTTGTTCATTCATAATGGGAGAAGATCACGGAGAAGCAAGATTCCCAATGCCAAGCCAGCCATTGACTTTGATATAAACAGACAGCAGAAGAGAAAACAGTTAAATGGTCCAAAAGTGTGTTTGTTTCATACCACAGCTGGTTACTACCTGGTTGCATTTGTTCATTGCTTGCAGTACATAAACTTCAGTTGGTAATCTTAGCACAAAAAGCAGCAAGAGTGTAATAGTGCTCAGGTCCCCTCCCTTCTCCTCCTCCTCCTAGTTTTGACTGATACCTTCACTATTATTGTCTTCGAACATAGGAACAAATATTTGACATATTTGAGCATTAGAGTATTTTTACTAGTGTTTATTTGTTTGTCTTGACTCGTTTATCAACATTTTTTTGAGATCCCTTACTCTTGAAAAAATAGATAATGCATGGATTATTTTGTTTGAATACCACCCAGCATTTTCCCTTTAGGTTTTTGGTTTTGTTTTGGGGGAGTTAAACCATGCATTTATTGTCAAATGTAGCCCAATCTAGTAATTATGCATTAAATTGTTTAACTTCTATAATTGCCAGGGAATTGTCTAATTATCGTATCAAAAGTATAAGAAAATATATTATAATTAAAAATCAATTGACAATTACATGTAAGATTTTTTATATTGGTTTATTTTTGTGTCTACCTCACTTGTTCTTGGATTTTGCAGTTATGGGCACATTTTGCATTTGATTTTTATTATATCAATACATTTTATTATGTAAATGTGAAAATAATCTTTTTATTTTCTTCATCTAGAATATTAACCATTCATTCACATTCCATCTAACCCTTCATCAGATTTCAAGAAGTCTCGCTCCCCACAGGTGAAGATTTGGTCCCAAACAGCACAGCTGGATGATCATTGGGAAGGGTTGGCACTTACATCAAGCAGATCAAGGAAGAAAGAGTGGAAGCATACGTTCAGATCTCTCAAAGGCCAAGATCAGTCTCCGGCTGAACGTGCATCACAGTCATCTGTGAGTTCCGTTTTCCGCTATTCACTTTTTGTTAAGTCCAGATTTTAGGGTTGCATAGTGTCGAGTCATAGTTGTTATTTTTCTGGCAGATGGTATTGTTTATGCTTGTTGGTTATAGTTTAATTATTGCTTTCTGATGTATAAGAGCACATGCATTTTTGGATTGTGATAAAATTCATTTTGAATGATGATGTTATTTCTTGGAGACGAATGTTTAATTTTAAGAGATTTTCTTTAATTTTGTAACACAAGCAAGCTTAAAACATCTTGCAATATTGCCAAAAAGAACAGAACCTGAACGTTGCTGTTCTGCTGTCATCCTGTGGCCAGTCTTTACGGTGCACAAATTACTGCTATGCCTCGTATGTGGATGATTAAAGTTTGCACACACTTGTAAGTTTATATTGCGTCACAACCACAGTACCTTTGTTTCTTATACATGGAAGCACTGAGGATGTAACTAATACCAATATTTTGAGGACTAAATTTTAAATGTTATTTATAATGTTTTATAAATTTTAATATATGATTTGGTATCCTCTAGATTTTATCTGGTTTTGTGCAAAATGTTTTGCATGTTATTGCAGAAATACTCGTAAACTTTCCATTGTTTCCATTTTTTGTAGTTTTGAAGTTTTGATAATGGTATTTGGTAATTCTGGCCCATGAAAAATGTTCACTCTATTGTCCGCACGACAAATGCTTGAGTTCTATGCTGCTTTTTTGCTGCAGTGCTTTTGTTCCGCTAGTTCATGGTTTGCTGATTATGCAATACAATTCATCTTTTGTATACTTTATCGTGTTCAATTGTGATGAAGGAAGTCTCTTACTTTGGAATTCGTCTCATTATTTAAAGCATGTTTATTATTTCATCCATAGGTGTGATGAATCTCTAGCAACAATTTTAGGTTTCTGACAACACTGGGATGATGATACATCTTATTAGTTACAGAGGCAAAATCCTTGTATTTACCTGTTTGAAGTATGCTGTATTTGTCTTTTTTTTTATCAAACTTCATTTAGTTGTTGGAGGGATAATAGAATAAGAAAAAATAGACTAGGGATGTTTCCTTAGCTATATTGAATGCATAGAGAAGTATTATAATGAAGTACTGGTTGTACACAGAGTAAGAAAATTAAAAGTTTGGACTATATCATAAACAAGTATAGGTGAAGAATATTTGAACATTTTGATAATATAATGATAAAGTATGGCACTAAGTAGATGATGCTAATATATAATTGAAACTAAAGTTGCTGGGAATGCTGTGCCTATTTAGATTTTTTTGTGAGATTGTCTGCACATAGATGGATTCTGCAAGTGCTTTGCCACAAAGGGAGTCTGTTTTAGTAAGTGTTGTAACTTTACCTGATTTCCCTTTTCCTTGAATTTGCATGAACTTTTTTTGTTTTTTTTTTAACTAATTCGTAAAATTCGTTTGGTGTTAATTTTTATTTTTTTAAAATCTAATCGTGTATATCGTGTGTTAATTTATAATAGACATGATTACTATAATGTTATTGATATTAGTAACAGTCATTAATAGCCTTAAATATTTTTGAAATCAAGGAAAAGGGTAAACGTGTGAGACAGGTAGTACTCGTAATTGGCTCAGTAGTGTCTTAGTACAAGTGGATCCTAGATTTGTATAACAATTAGCTGTAAACTTTCATTGTGTCACATGCCATGTCCTGTTGGTTTTTGGGTTAAGGTAGATGGCAGTTTCTGTGAATCCAGTTTGCTAATGAAGCCAAAGTATGGATTGGGATAGACTATGCCATCTTGTTATGTACTGAATTTAAGCAGAAAGGACAAATGCATTGTAATCAAGTCATTATGCAACTTAACTAATGCAGTTTCTTAAAGAATAGAAATAGGGATTGGTAAATACACTAGTTAAACAAGCTAAGTTACACTAATATGTAGAAATAAACTTGAGCACTAATGTGTTGCAACCTCTGCACTCTTCATTACATATTGCTCTCCTTTCCTTTACTCCTCTCAACTCTCAGAACTCTCGCTCTTACTCGCTCTCTTCACTCACTCTCTCACTCCTCACCTCGCTCTCTCACTTACTCACTCTCTCACTCACTCACTTCAGCTCGCTCTCTCACTCACGTCGCTCTCCTCACTCACTCACTCACTCACGCACCTCACTCGCTCTCTCACTCACGTACGCTCTCATCACTCACATCGCTCCTCTCATCACTCACTCACTCGCTCTCTCACTCACATCGCTCTCCCTCACTCACTCCCTCACTCACTCCACGTCACTCACTCACATCACTCACTCACCGTCACGCAACTCACCATCACCACCACCTCCTCCTTTTTTCTCCTCCTCCTCCTCCTCCTCCTCCCTCCCTTCTTTCTTCGTCTTCTTCTCAACCACGCGACCACCACCGCCCTCCTCTTCCTCCTCCTCCTCCTCTTCCTCCTCCTCCTCCTCCTCCTCCTCCTCCTCCTCCTCCTCCTCCTCCTCCTCCTCCTTTCTTAACCACCACACCACCTCCTCCTCTACTTCCTCCTCTCCTCCTCCTCCTCCTCCTCCTCCTCTCCTCCTTCTTTCTCACCACCACCTCCTCCTCCTCCTCCTCCTTCCTCCTCCTCCTCTCTCCTCCTTTCTCAACCACCACCTCCTCCTCCTCCTCCTCCTCCTCCTCCTCCTCCTCCTCTCTCCTCCTCCTCCTTTCTCAACCAGGCCACCTCCTCTCCCTCCCTCCTCTCCTCTCCTCCTCCTCCTCCTCCTCCTCCTACTTTCTCAACCACCACCTCCTCCTCCTCCTCCTTCTCAACCACCACCTCCTCTCTCCTCCCTCCTCCGCCTCCTCCTCTCCTCTCTCCTCTCCTCCTCCTTCTCCTCCTCCTTCTCCTCCTCCTTCTTCCTCCTTCTCCTTTCTCAACCACCTCCTCCGCCTCCTACTTCCTCCTCCTTTCTCCTCTTCCTCCTTTCCTCACACCTCCTCCTCCTCCTCCTCCTCCTCCTCCTCCTTCCTCCTCCTTCTCCTTTCGAAAACCACCTCTCCTCCTCCTCCTCGTCCTCCTCCTCCTCCTTCCTCCTTTCTCAACACCTCCTCCTCCTCCTCCTCCTCCTCCTCCTCTCCTCCTCCTCCTCCTCCTCCTTTCTCAACCACCGACCTCCTCCTCCTCCTCCTCCTCCTTTCTCAACACCACCTCCTCCTTTCTCACCACCACCTCTCCTCCTCCTCATCCTCCTCCTCCTCCTCCTCCTCCTCCTCCTCCTCCTCCTCCTTTCTCACCACCACCTCCTCCTCCTCCTCCTCCTTCCTTTCTCAACCACCACCTCCTCTCCTCCTCCTCCTCCTCCTCCTTTCTCAACCACCCCCTCCTCCTCCTCCTCCTCCTCCTCCTCCTTTATCAACCACCACCTCCTCCTCCTCCTCCCTCTCCCCTCCTCCTTTCGCAACCACCACCTCCTCCCTCCTCCTCCTCCTCCTCCTTTCTCAACCACACCTCCTCCTACCTCCTCCTCCCCTCCTTTCTCAACCACCACCGTCCTCCTCCTCCTCCTCCTCCTTTCTCAACCACCACCTCCTCCTCCGCCTCCTCCTCTTTCTCACCAACACCTCCTCCTCCTCCTCCTCCTACTCCTCCTCCTCCTCCTCCTCCTCCTCCTTTCTCAACCAACACCTCCTCCTACCTCCTCCTCCTCCTTTCTCAACCATCCCCTCCCCTCCTCCTCCTCCTCCTCCTCCTTTCTCAACCACCACCTCCTCCTCCTCTCCTCCTCCTCCTCCTTCTTCAACCACCACCTCCTCCTTCTCCCTCCTCCTCCTCCTCTCCTTTCTCAACCCCCCTCCTCCTCCTCCTCCTCCTCCTCCTTTCTTCACCACCACCCCTCCTCCTCCTCCTCCTCCTCCTCCTTTCTCAACCACCACCTCCTCCTCCTCCTCCTCCTCCTTTACTCACCACCACCCATCCTTCCTCCTCCTCCTCCTCCTTTCTCAACCACCACCTCCTCCTCCTCCTCTCCTCCTTTCTCAACCACGCACTCCTCCTCCTCCTCTCCTCCTTTCTCAACCACCACCCTCCTCCTCCTCCCTCCTCCTCCTTTCTCAACCACCACCTCCTCCTCCTCCTCCTCCTCCTTTCTCAACCACCACCTCCTCCTCCTCCTCCTCCTCCTTTCTCACCACCACCTCCTCCTCCTCCTCCTCCTCCTTTCTCAACACCACCTCCTCCTCCTCCTCCTCCTCCTTTCTCAACCACCACCTCCTCCTCCCTCCTCTCCTCCTCCTCCTCCCCTCCTCCTCCTCCTCCTCCTCCTTTCTCAACCACCACCTCCTCCTCCTCCCTCCTCCTCCTCCTCCTCCTCCTCCTCCTCCTCCTCCTCCTTTCTCAACCACCACCACCTCCTCCTCCTCCTCCTCCTCCTCCTCCTCCTCCTCCTCCTTTCTCAACACCACCACCTCCTCCTCCTCCTCCCTCCTCCTCCTCCTCCTCCTCCTCCTCCTTTCTCAACCACCACCACCTCCTCCTCCTCCTCCTCCTCCTCCTCCTTTCTCAACCACCACCACCTCCTCCTCCTCCTCCTCCTCCTCCTCCTTTCTCAACCACCACCACCTCCTCCTCCTCCTCCTCCTCCTCCTCCTTTCTCAACCACCACCACCTCCTCCTCCTCCTCCTCCTCCTTCTTTCTCAACCACCACCACCTCCTCCTCCTCCTCCTCCTCCTTCTTCTCAACCACCACCACCTCCTCCTCCTCCTCCTCCTCCTTCTTTCTCAACCACCACCACCTCCTCCTCCTCCTCCTCCTCCTTCTTTCTCAACCACCACCACCTCCTCCTCCTCCTCCTCCTCCTTCTTTCTCAACCACCACCACCCTCCTCCTCCTCCTCCTCCTCCTTCTTTCTCAACCACCACCACCTCCTCCTCCTCCTCCTCTCCTCCTTCTTTCTCAACCACCACACCTCCTCCTCCTCCTCCTCCTCCTCCTTCTTTCTCAACCACCACCACCTCCTCCTCCTCCTCCTCCCTCCTTCTTTCTCAACCACCACCACCTCCTCCTCCTCCTCCTCCTCCTCCTTCTTTCTCAACCACCACCACCCTCCTCCTCCTCCTCCTCCTCCTCCTTCTTTCTCAACCACCACCACCTCCTCCTCCTCCTCCTCCTTCTTTCTCAACCACCACCACCTCCTCCTCCTCCTCCTCCTTCTTTCTCAACCACCACCACCTCCTCCTCCTCCTCCTCCTTCTTTCTCAACCACCACCACCTCCTCCTCCTCCTCCTCCTTCTTTCTCAACCACCACCACCTCCTCCTCCTCCTCCTCCTTCTTTCTCAACCACCACCACCTCCTCCTCCTCCTCCTCCTCCTTTCTCAACCACTTCTCAACCCCCTTCCCCTCCCTCCCTGCTTCTCTGCTTCCCTCTTTCCCCCCCTCTCCCTCTTTTTCTCTCCTTCCCTCTCCTCTGTCCCTCCTCAGCTTTCACCTTCCTTTCTCTCCCTTCCCCTCTGCTTTTTCCCTTTTTCCACCCCTCCCTCCTCTCTCCCTCATTCCTCCATTTTTGTCCTTATTTCTCTCTTGGTCTTTGTTTTATTTGGTCTTACTCCTTTCATCTATTCTTTTTTTCTTTCTTTTTTTTTCTACATTAATTATTTGAATTCTCCTCAGCCAATGATGTTGACAACAGCAAGAATGCATGCCTGATGATCCTGGCCAAAATTGTGGAGGACCCACAGAGTGGAACATGTCTCAACGTGAGCTATGCAGACATCACAGGCCCCGTCGCAAATCCAACCCCACTGGATCTCCATTTGCTAATTCTCCAGGTGGACAAAACACGCAGATGGTACCATGGGAGCACTGTCCAATCCGCTCTCTGCAGGTAAGCTACAACAGTATTACACAGACATGATACTCAGGCAGACATATCCACATACATACAGGTATGCTCACACACATGCAGCCATACCCTCACACATGCAGCCATACCCTCACACATGCAGCCATACCCTCACAAATGCAGCCATACCTTCACACATGCAGCCATACCCTCACACATGCAGCCATACCCTCACACAATGCAGCCATACCCTCACACATGCAGCCATACCCTCACACATGCAGCCATACCCTCACACATGCAGCCATACCCTCACACATGCATCATGCCCTCACACATGCATCATGCCCTCACACACACACACACACACACACACACACACACACACACACACACACACACACACACACACACACACACACACAGAGGGACATGTTAGCCTACTAGATCCGGATGCTTCACTGCCATTATGTGACCCATAATGGGGGCACTAGGCTCAATTGAATGGCTTGTAGGCCTTGTGCACACAAGCACTTGGATATGCGGTAACAAGACTACATGCCTCCCATTTGCAGTGTTATTTTCTCTATCTGCAAAACATTTTTAGCTTTATTGACATTTTCCATTGTCTATGTCTTTTGGCTTGCCTTTTCCAGAAGGCAATATAGACTGTTTTCCTTGTACAGACTCCTTATCATATCTCTAGGTAGTCCATAACTCAGTGCAAAAATAACAATAATAAGCAACACTATCTGCCACTGGTCATGGTGGTTCAGGATTAAGAACATGATCATGAAAATAGTCCCCTCTCTGGAGCCAGTGCTCTTATCAAGGCTCACAGATGGTACATTCCACACTCCATTTATCAATGAAAATAAGACAAAACCCCCCTCTTAAATACTCACCGAATTTAATTGCCCTTCAAGAGCTTTGTGCATTAGTAGTGAGTCATAACTGTCACCCTAGGCTTCATCTGAAATTCTCATGATGGCAAGTTCCCATCACCCTACAGTCTTTGGCCAAATTTTGCCATGACGGCATGTTCAGGTCACCCGCCCCTTGAGCCAGATATTTCATGACATGATGGTCAGGTCATCCAGATCGTAGGGGTTGACAGACAAATTCACATTCACATGAACATATTGATTAATTGTCAAACACACATGCCAACACGTGGACAAAGTCACATGCTGTGACAGGTGGACTAAGTTGCATGCTGTGACAGGTGGACTAAGTCACATGCTGTGACAGGTGGACTAAGTCACATGCTGTGACAGGTGGACTAAGTCACATGCTGTGGACAGGTGGACTAAGTCACATGCTGTGACAGGTGGACTAATTCACATGCTGTGACAGGTGGACTAAGTCACATGCTGTGACAGGTGGACTAAGCCACATGCTCTGACAGGTAGACTTATGTAGACATTCCAACACTTGTAGACAGACATAGGACCTATGCAGGTACATACAGACACTCTAGCACACACAAACAAATTTTTAGATCTTTTTGTTTCTCCCCTTTTTTTCAAAGTTTATCAAAAAGGGATTATATATTTTGGTTCCATTGTTATCTAATGTCTGATGTTTTTGCTTTCAGTGAGTGGATTGGGTAATTTGCTTGGAGGTGGAGTAAATCTGACCTTAAATCTAAGCTCAGCCTATCCCAACGGAGGTGCTGGGAACCCCGTGGTTACCGGACAACTGTTAGAGCATGTACGCTCTCTCCTGCGCTCGTCGGGCTTTGCTGACCAGTCCAATGCTGAAGTGTGTCAGGCCATTAGCACTCTGATCAACTATGGTATCATAGGCCTGGGGCTTTGGTCTCGGGAATCCCTCTGGTCACCAGGGCGGGCAAGGTGGGCAAGGACAGCAGGGGCAAGGAAATATGGGGAACATGAATATAAAACATGAACAACTCAAATAACCCAAATGACTCTTATCATGGCTCATCAATGAGTAATGGAACAATGGCCCTTTTGGGCCCATAGGCACAACAGTTGCATCAGGCCTTAACCTTGGACAGGGTTTAGGGGGACCAACATCTCCTCAGCGACAGGTGGACCGATTCAACTCAGAACCCCCATTTGATCCCTTTCGTCGACAGTCGACAGAGATGGGGGCGAGCCTTCCGCTGAACAGTAACTCTTCGGGCGTGGGACCCCTTTAAGGAAGAGCCCCTCTCCAGGAGAGCTTCCTCCAGGAGCACCAGAAGGTAGCAAGAAAGTTGAGATGGAGGTTGGTGAGCACATTGTTGGCGCTATCTTGGGCCCCGGGGGAAAGTCCCTGGTAGAAATACAGCACATGTCCGGCACCACAATACAAATCTCCAAGAAGGGTAACTATGCACCTGGTACTCGTAACCGCATTGTCACCATCACGGGTCTACCTTCAGGCATCACAACGGCGCAGTTTCTCATTGAACAACGTATCTCTGATGAAGAGGGCAAGCGTGCCCGCCAGAATGCCATTATAGGGGTCATGCCTTAAATCACCCACTTTTCATTTTCTTCCATTTCATCCATAGTTAATTTGACCTCTGTCGGGGGCTTGAAATAGATTTTGCGCACACCATTTCCTCTTGCCCATCTAGGTTATAGTGATGAGTGTTTACATGTTTGGCGAGTCTTTTTATATGAATTAAAAGAATTTCAAGCTCCACATCTGTCATCAAAAACTTAGGTGCTTTTCAGTAGACCATGCAGGATTATATATGTATATATATATATGTATGTAAATCCATTGCTTGGATTATTCATTATAAAGTGATCTGATACATTTTTTTTTTTTTTTCCTCATTCTTTTATAACTGACAAGCACCTTGCATTTACAGTATAGGTCACAGCAGTTCATTTCTTTCTTCAAAATCCTGTGTTCAAATGTCACCCCATAATCAGGCATAACCATTACATACGTTTCATAATTGACCATTTCTATTCTTAATTTCCCCAGTCACCAACTACAGTTGTTTGCCAGCATTATGCACTATGTTTGTATAGAAGAGAGCAACTGTGAGTAACCATTGTTCATTGTCCAAATATGTACAGATGAATCATAGTTGTGTGAAGGCAAGTAGTATACATGAATTTGTCATTTTTAAAATTCATTTCATTGTGCAATGGATGCTGCTGAGTTAACCTTAAAGTGGATGTTGCCTGGGGCTACAATACTTCACAGTTGTGGTTCTGCTTACAGGAAGCTGATCCTCATGCCCAGCGCTATATGACCGCATTTCTAATCCAGACATGTTGCTTTATTTTGTTTACTTGTTACAATTTATATTTATATTGCTTGGTTTTTTCACTTGAGAGTTCAGTAGTTTTGAAACTGTTCTCTGGTTCTGCTTTTAGGTTCATTAAGGCAAATTGCTTTGTTTAAAGTTGGCAATTATGTCTGGATTCAAATGGACTCACAACCATCTCTTTGTCTGCGGTCAGAAAACATCCTACATAGCAATTCATATCATGTGGTATGAATGATGGCAACTTGTGACTCATGTTGAGTTTGATTATGCTGCTGCCAGGGTTTCTACCTGGACTAGGCTACACTGGGAGAGGTAGTACAGGTTTCCCAGAGAGAGACCTCTTTGGTATCACTGATAACATGTTTTAGGTCCCTTTTTGTGAGAACATTGTACTAGGGTGGGCAGTAACAGGTGTTATGAAGCTAGAGTTAACGAGGGCGGGAAGCCGCACGGGCCTCACTAGATATCCCATACTTAATAGCACCCTCATTAAGTTGGCTAAGTTTGAAAAAAAATTGCAATTAAAGTGTATTGTGTGCATGTAGATTAATTTTCCCTGGTAATAAACTTATAAGTTCCTTATAAAAGTAAGTCATAGACTGCCATTTGTTAAATCTTTTAGAGATTTATTAGGATTTTTTCTTTAAAGTTTCTCTGAACCAGGGGATAGCCAAAAACATTTTATCATGCATCTTTCCTCATTAAATATCATAGCTCTACAAACCTTGTAAAAATTGGCAATAAATGTGTATCCATTAGCGGCCAAGACTTTCCATATCAGCCTTTATCAACCAGTTTCACCGCACCAAACTGACATCCCAGCGCCCTGAAAGTCTTGAACATGTGACCTTCAGGGCGCAGGCAACCAAACCTTCATCATGCATTCTATTAAGTCACGCCTCATGACACTGGAAGCACCGCCAGATGACAAAGTCAGTTTGTTGCGGCATGCTTATGACAACATGTGACCGACGTACATTGACTCCATCTCCTCCTGCAATATCGTGAAGCTGTCACAGTAAGTAGAGTAAGAATCCCAGTACTAGGGAAGCAAGCTTATGACAACTGACTAGAGTCAAAAGGTGGTAAAACACGGTTAGGGAAGGTCCAATGCTGCAGGTGATCATTTCACCCACATATATGCATATCAGGGAAGGTTGGGTGGGCCTGGGATTGGGTTGGGATCAGGACATTCATTAGCTTGTAGCATTCATTTTCCTTCAGTGATATGCTATATATTGACTTATAATGGTAATAATGTCTCACAGGAATCCTTCGAGTGATGCACAGCACCCCAAGTAATTATGACGTTCTTTTTCTCTCCCGTTTCCATAACTAGATAATGGTGGACCCCCAATGTCTTGAATGATGATTAAGCTGGTGTGTATGTGTGGAGCTGACAGTGCCAGGCTGTGGTGGTGCGGCGGCAGGAGGGTGAGAGACTCCACGCAGGCTCGGCACTCCTCTCCACACAGGTAGTGATTCTGCCTCACTCCACCTCCACCCCCACACTCCATCTCCACCCCTCCCTCCCTAATCTCACTTACCTCTGGCCTCATGTCTATATTGTGCCGGCCTCTTGTGCCTGGTGCTCACCCCTGACCTCTCTTTAATATCCTTGTCAGGGAGTAATGTGGTCTCCGGAAGTGAACGTCTCACAATTTTGATGTGTAGCTTGCTCGTAAGGGATGCTCCTATGAATCTTCATAAATTACATGAAAAAAGTATGCATTCTTTGTAAGATTTCATTAACTTGAAAATGAAAGAAAACAAAAATAGAAAAAAAGAAAGAAAAAAAAACAACTCAGGGCTTTTTATTTTTGTGTACAGGGAACGTCTTCAGGGAGCGATCTGGTTAAAGAGGTTGAACTTCTTGTGGCTTGAAATTTCTGTTCCAACTTTGATATTAATAGAAACAGGATCCAAGAATATTTTATGTAGCTACTTTTGCAATTGGCTGGTCATGGGTGAAACAGTGGCCAAAAGGTCATTTACATTTGGTCAGGGGTTTTATTGGGTCATGCTGGGTAGCATCACAAGTGGAAAAAAAGGGACGAAAAAATGAATGATATAAACATTGTGAGATACTGTATAGACTTGACTTATTCTTTATTATGTTTATTATTATTATTATATTATTATTTTTTTGCTTGCAGTTCTTATTGTCCTCTGGAAAATCCAGTGTACAGTTTACTGATGAAAAGGTGAAAATATGTACATCTATATAGTGATGCTATCAGGTGTGTGTTTCATCATCATTTATTCACACATTCTCCCTGTTTCTTGTGATACATCATTAAATTGAATTACATAAGACATCATTCTTTGATATGCTGACATTTTAGTCATTCATATATTGTACTAAAGGAAAATGCTCGCCGTCTTAAAAAGATGGACTTTGTAACAGTTCATAGAACAAACTCTTTCCATTGCTTTGTTTATATATATTTTGACTATTTATTTATTTATTATTTTTCCTAAAGAAATGAAAAAATGCAACTTGTGGGAACTTTTTGAAATGTTTTAGAAGTCTTATATTGTTTTGCCATATACTGAAAGTCAAGAATTGATTTTCTTTTCCTTGACAAGAGGGAGAACAACCAAATTCATAGATGCCAACATTTTACAGTTTTATCAGGTTTCGTCATGTGTGGTCACCATCTACACACAGGCATTGTGGCATGCTGGGTGTGAAGAGGTTTGGTGCTGCTGGGCATTGCTTGAGTGGAATGAGGATGAAAGCTGGTAACCTTGAGTACAGGTCATGTTGGAGGTGCTGTCGTGTGCCCAGCCAAATGGATCTCGGATATTGAAATTTTGCGCTGGTAGGAAAGGAAGATCCTTCTGGGAATGGATATAGATCTAGTGAGAAACATATTGTGTATAGAAGGAAGAAATATATGTTGTTGTCTTTCTTTTATTAATCTACATCCTGTTTCTTCTACTTGGTTATTTCTTTGGTTGGATATACTTGGTCTGGTCTTTATTTTTTACAGATTAAAAGCAGTAAATTAATGTAAAGCTGTGATTGCATGACAATGCCCATTAAGGTCATAAGGAGGGTATCCATGCAATATATTGAGTTTTGAAGCTTTTTTGTCTGTATATATTCTAAATTTGTCTTAAAACACCATTAATGTGGTGAAATTTGCGCCTTTAACATTTATTACAAATGTTTTTTTTTATTTAATATCATTAAAGAGAATAGTGCATTCATAGAAAACTGAACAGTTTTTTATGTAATGAAGTCTTGGTATATAGTCTTGGTTGTAATAGAAGTTTTTGAGTATTCGATTTCAGTTGATTGGATAACTTGCAGTTTACAGTCTCTAATCTCAAGATGGTTTGGTTGTAAGTTACAGCGAGTATTGGTATTGATTTTCTCTAAGAATTGCCGTATATTACGAGCTTATTTCAGAAAGTGTTTTCTTTAATGCATATTCTATGTTCCTTCAATAGCTTTAGTAAAGGCTTGGTACAAGAATCACAAAAAAAAAATTCTAGCATTCTTTATAATGAGTGTTCAATTGATTTCATTTCCCATCTGAATAGTTAAACCATGATCCAGTTAATGGATTAATTGTTTTAAAGGAGAGCTGTAATGCAGTTATGATA